GGTCGTTCTCGCCTTCCTCCGTTCCTAATTTGTAACTTTCTTCTCTGACGGTGAGAAACTTGTCTCTCCTTATCAGCCCCAGGACACATATAAAGTAGTTGCAGAATTGCTGACATTTTGAGAAACAAATTTACTAAATGGAGTTCAGTATTTGTGTGCCGTTTTTTGTGTCTTTATCCTGTGGCTTCTTTATCAGAGTTCTTTTTAAAGTCCCTGTCTGGTCATGCCCATGCAATGAAGCCATCTGGGGCTGCTTCCTATGACTCTTTCCTATTTGTGACCATAGATCACATTTTCTTGTCCCTTTGGTGTGTCTTATAGTATGGCTTTTATTTGAATACTTTTTTTGTAAAAGAATGGTAGAAATGAAAGTAAATAGCATTTACTCCACACAAAGACACGTCCCTTCTTGGTCAGCCTGCTGGAGTGAGGGGACGGGCTGACTCAGTCTGACCTTTGGTTGAGCTGTTCTCAGCCTTGTGGCAGCTTCACTTTGGTTCAGTTCATCACCAATTTCAAATGCTCTAAAGCAGGATCAGCACTTGTCTTGCTAAAGGGCCTGAGAAACAGGCACTGGTGACATGCCGGGGAGCTCTTTTGCTTGGCAGCTGAACCGCCAGCTTCCTGGGCCGCGGGAGACTGTTCTCTGCTTTCTGTCCTAGCTGCTGGCTGCTCCGGATCCTCGGGGAGGTTTTGTTCTCTAGTCCTGCCCCCTCCACCCACTTCCTGGACCACTGGAGGGCTCTCCCGCCCTGCCGCCCAGCACAGCCTTACACTCTGTGGAGGCCTCAGATACCTCCAGGGTATTTGCCCTCCCGTTGCCTTTGGTGGACCCGTGCCTTGCGCCTGGGGGGAGTGTTTCATGCTGTCAGGGGACGGCTCTCAGATCTCTGATGCTGCCCCTGCCTTTGATATGCTCTCTGTGGTAGGCAGGATAATGGCCCCCCAAAGACGGATGTCTGAATCCTAATTCCCAGAAGCTGCAAATATGTTAGATTACATGGAAAAGGGGAATTAAGGTGGCGGATGGAATTAAAGTTGCCAGTCAGATGACAATAGATAAGAAAGGAAGATTATGCTGGATTATCCCGGTAAACCCAGTGTAATCACAGGGGTCCTTCAAAGTGGGACAAGGAGGCAGGGGCACAGAGATACCATGTGCTGGCTTTGAGGATGGAGCAAGGGTACCACCAGCCAGGGATGCAGCAGCCAGGAGAGGCTGGAAGAGGCCAGGCGTGGACTCCCCCCTTGAGCTCCAGAGTTGCCGATTTACACATTTCCAATACTTAGTTCCTGAGTGTTTCTTTATTTAAGGGAGAGGGCCAACTGTGTTCAGAAGTCTGAACTCCTCACTCAATTAGTGAATGAGTATCGTTATCAGTAAAGTTAGACTAACCCAGGAGGTCCTCAAAGGAAGTGGCAAAGAACAAAGTATCTAGGCGTTGAAGAGATTTCAAGGTCATGAACATAGAGATGGTCCAGACTCAGTTACCCTCTGCAGAGGCAGAATACGTCTGCGGAGGCCCATCCCTGAGTTCTGTGTGTCCCTCTCGTCCTTCGGCATTCCCCAAACTGTCACGTACTTCCCCAACCCTCAGAGCAGACATTCACAGTCACCTCTGGTGGACCACATCCATGCTGGTTGTGCCCTGCAGGTCCTCCCAGCGGGAGTCAGCTTGTTCTCAGACGGTGGCTTGGCAGGCAGGGTCAGGGCAGCAGCAGAGCTCAGCAACTCGGTCGTTGTAGAGCCGTGACGGTCCCCACTGTCCACCTGCCAGAGGGGTTTGAAATGGCCTGTCTGCTGGTTAGGGCACTTTGACCCCAGGTCACAGAAAGAAATGGAAACCCTTGCTGTATGGTCTCTCTCTCTCTCTCTCTCTCTCTCTCTTTTTTTTTTTGGGGGGGGGTATTCCGAGATAACTTTGGATGTCTGTTGGTCTTTTAAGCTAGGATATAATATATTGATTCGTTTTCTTTTAAGTCACATTTGTTTACGTAATTGCACTGACTTTTATCCCAACTAGAGTTTCCCAATCTCTTCTATCAAGCATTTAGAATTTCTTGGGTTACTTCTGGGAAAGCTAACTTCTTACATGTGGATTTCCCAAGGTTTACATTTAAGAAAATCCTATTGAAATAGAACCTGGGAGCTCCTGTAACAATAATTGTTACTATGTAATTATATAGTAAAGTGCTAGCAGCTAAGAGCTATTGAGTTCTTGCCACTTGCCAGATTCAGAACCATTTATTTCATATCTAGTGTCTCATTTAATCCTCAAAACAAACCTTGGAGACACAGGAATGCTTATTTTCCCCCATTTTATAGATGTAGAAACTGAGGTTTAGCAAGTTGTAGTTGCCCATGTTTTTAACTGCTGTAAGATGTGGTCTCTACCCACCAGGACGGGCATGATTGGTTCCATTAGACCAAAATTTCAGAATCAGGCATTATTTTAAGTGGTGGATAAGATATAGCTTGGATAGCTGTATAAAATGTAATTTCTCTAAGTTTTGGGATGGACTTAAACTTCTGTTTCAAAACTAACCATGTTTCATTAGATTGTTGTTGTATAGGTTTTTGTATTTCAGGGGCATGATTTAGCTCTTGGCATATCCAATGCCATGAAGCAAGGAAAGCTTGTTATAATAGAGTACCATTGTGTGTATTAACACGCCCATTAGAAAAGTTTCCTCAGAACTAAAGGATTTATAACCCTCATGCTTAAACAGAATCAGGCTGGAGACTGCAAAAGAGCTGTCATATGGTCTAATTTGATGGACACTTCCTGGATACTTTGAGCCTTAGGGCCTCTGCTTCCAGGAAATGTATAGATAGACACTCAATGAGGGTACCTTCAGAAGGCTCATGTCCAAGAACCTGACAACATAGCCCACTGGAGACCTTTTTTCCTCCTTTTATCACTCAGAATCTGCCCAATAGGTCAGTGGTTCTGGAAGCAGCTACTAGCAATGACCCATGACAAGTTTCCACCAGTTCCTGGTTTCCTATAAAGTAAGAACTATGTACTTGGGAACATCTCTGTTAGAATATTTGACTAATGAGTCCTATGTTCAGGCCCCAGGCTTTGCTGGGAGAATGTCTGGAGTCTGTGATCGTGAGTTCTATCTCAGTTCTCCATTGCTGGAAGAAATATTTTCATATTCCCCTCCAGTTTTCAGTTCTGTGTTTTTTGCGTCATGTTTGAATTCCTTTGATGTTTCTCTTACAGTGATGTTGTTTGCAACCTAAGTAAACCCACCTGGATTCTGGATAATAACTCGTATCTTACTGTTTTCGTTCGTTAATATTCATATATAATGACCATGATTCTCAACAGGGGGGCAGATCTGCCCCCATGAGACACATGGCAACGTCTAGAGATATTCTTGATTGTCACACATAGAGGACAGAAGTATTCCTGATATCCAGTGAGTAGAGGCCAGGGATGCAGCTAAACATCCCACAATGCACAGGATACCCCCGAACAGAACGATTTGGCCCCAAATTTCAATAGTGTCGGGGTTGAGAAATCTTGGCTTAGGGAAAGCACTTCTAAAAACATTGTGTTTTTAACTTATGCTTAATTTTAGTTTGTCTACATATAGATTTTCATCATGCATTAATCTTCTTAATTAAATCATGCTTGTTTACGTTTCAATTAGCATTAAATAACTTTTGCTATATTCATGGCTATAGAAAGATTTGTTCAGATCTCTATAAAGACTATGATGACAGTCCCTTTGGGGCAGAAATCTTAAGTAAAATTGATCTGTGCTCCAGGCACAAGAAACAGCAGGAATCTGGGTGCTATCACTGTGAATATTCCAAATACCAAGCTCCTGGAAGCATAAAGCTAGATCATAGGGTACCAACAAAGACAGATTATTTGGAAGACATAGACGCAAAGTGTATCTCAGTCCAGTCCCAGAAGCCAGAGAGGTCAGTAGGTGCTGCTCTGTTTCCTGGGTAGCAGAGGAGGATGATAAGCCAAACGACAATATTGCTGCAGTCGAGACTGAAAGAAGGCAGTTCACGAGTGAGGTGTTCATTTCAAAGGAGATCTTCACTATTGATGGAGAGACTGCACTGCCAGCCAGAACCTGAGCTTCTGCCGGTTCAACCAAATGTAATGAAGGAAGGAGAAGAGGGATTAGAGAGAGCAGCGCTGACAGACGGCAGTTTGCGAAGAGTTGAATCAGCATAAATTATATCTCATCAGTGAGCAGGGAGGAGGGAGGATGTGCTCCAGGGCTCGGCTCACCACTGAGCTGGCGCATGCACCAAAGCACAGCCAGCAAACCGCCAGGTGTCTTTCAGCGTTGGACTCAAGTGCAGGGGTAGAGAAATGCCTTGGTTGGAAAGCCACCTGGATTACAAATCGTGGGTAGAAGTCTATTTGAAACAATACAGAACTAAAAGACATGAATATTTGGGATATCGGAAGGCCTCAATCATAGACTACAGACAACCACAAGAAAAAATTGCTGATAACTAGATGTGACTAATACACAGATACTAGTTGTAAGTATCTATATAACTAAATACTTCAAAACAAGACTCACCAGTTCAAAATCAATCCACCTGTTTAATAGTGTTTGAAATAAAGGTAAATATTATTTTCTGAGGTTGAGGAGAGTTCACCTAAACCACATATGAAATTTTCAAATAATCAAATTTTTTATCCTGTAGATTTGAAACTTGCTTCTTGGAGATTACATAATTAAACATTAACGTTAACTTTCCAAAATTTCATAACTATCAAGGGAAATAAAAAGTCAGCCTGTCAGCCTTAACACATTATAATAACATACAATACAAAGTAATATAACAGATATGAATAGACATATGAATGACTGGGAGTCATGGTAATTATTGCTTTGGGGGTTAAGTAATGGAAATATGACAAATATCAGGTGCGTGTGAAGTAAAAATCGTTTAACAAAATCTCTGAGTGAAGATTTTTTTCATTGCTTTAAAAACCTGTTCTAAGTTTTCTTCAGTGTATTGAAGCTTACAAACCAGAACCCAGTCAGAATGTCCAGACCAGCAGATGGTACTAATAGGAAAACCAATGGTCCCTGAGATTTTTCAAGGGAATTTAAAAATTATAGAAGGGGAAAATTCCAAAGTGAATGTCAAATAGGTTAAAATCTTGTACTTCCATTATGTACATCAAAGCAAAGGAATGGATTTGGGAAAAAGGAATGTAAGGCCTATGACATACCCTCCTTTGTCTCTCATTTTGAATTATTATTGAGTGTTGGGCAAATTTTACAAGCCTCGAAGATTGTTTCTAATCCACAAATACGTTGTCTCAAGCTTCTGCGAAAACCAGTATTAGAGATGCTGTCGTAACAATTGTTCAAACTGGACAAGCAGCCAGTGGGTCATTACTCACGGGGAACCAGTAGCACAGCAACGGGCTGACTTTTGCAAGGAGCACTTTGCAGCTCAGAATGAGTTTGGTTGCCCTCCTGGACGCTTCCACCATTTGAGGGTTTTGTTGTGAAGGCAGAAAACAGTATTTAATATTTAATGAAGTCATTCTCTGCTGATGTTTCATGGCAGATGTGCTCTACTTAGTAGACTGTCGGAAAGAAAATGTAGAGGCAAACGCATTAAAAATTATCAGACATTTTCATAGCCTCTCCCGAGGTGTCTCTGAAGGGTAATTACCTTGTGCACAAGATGGAAATGAAATGGGGAAAACATTTTTGTGCAAAAGTACAAGAAACGATTATACTGTTGGCAGGAATCCTAAGCTCCAGATGCATTATTTTTTGCTACTTCCAGCTTTCTTCTTCCCTTTTTATCCAGATGAGTTCTGCATTATATGCATTATATGCAGAACTTACAGGACTTACAGAGGAACAATAAGAGACTTTAATAATTCATATCTGAGAGGAGTGAAAATAGAAGGGCACATCTTATTATGAGGACATCAAATAGGTTACTTATTCTAACACATAGAAAATGCTACAAACCGTTCTAGTTCCTACTAAGAAGGCCCATTCTTCTCTGTCTTGGAAATTTCTGATATTGGAGGACCCAAGATTCTTGGACCAGAACCCCTTCATTGCCTAATGGTTTGTGCCCCTTTGGAGTTTAATGAAGATCTGGACATAATTTTGTCAGCTAGCAAGAGGAGAAAGGGAGGGGAGGAGAGAGGAAGGAAAGAAGCTAGGAGAGTCAGAAAGGTCATTTCCCCATCATGCTCTGGGCGTGCTCTGATGGGAACTGGCAGCAGACTGTCGCCCCAGGAAGCAGCGTTGTAAGTGGCCTCAGCCCAACATTGTTGAACAAACTTAAAGTGTGTGCTGCTTCCCCTGGACCACATTCTGTCATTTGAATCTGAAATGGCAGCTGCGTCAAAACAAGTTTGCATTATGTAGACCTAATTCCAATTTTTAAAATGCTGACTCAAAATCCTATGTAACCAGCAGCAATCAATTATATTTGTCAGTTTCTCTGAATACGGTTTATGAATTTCTCAACACACCAGGACTAGATTCCACGCCGCCACATGAGAGAGAAGCTGTGTGTTCTGAATCAATAATAATGACCATTTACTGGACTTGCAACGTCCAACAGTATGGCAGAACAGACATGAGCTGGGGATTGCAGGGGAGTGTTTGGTCAGCTGAAGTCCTGCTGGATTTGGAATAGATTCAGACAAACACACTTGTTCAAGCAGTGTTGAGCTTGTGAGCAAACAAGGGGAGTCTTCAGTACCAAAACATGCAGACATAAACAAAATCCCCAAACAAGAAAAAGGTGAAGATGGGCTGAAAATGGACTTGAACATAGGCAAACCCCAAATATGGATTCTTTTCCTGGAGTCCAATGCCCACCCCAGCAGTGGATTTGGAATTTAAGCCAGGGACCCACAGCGAATGGAACAGACAAACTTGGAGATGTTAGGAGTTCCTGCAGGCACCTTCTCAGTGGAGAAAAGCATCCCCAGGACTCAGAACTTTCATGGAATATGTGGTCAAAGATAGTCAAATTAAGTGAAATATAATCATGATATGCCCAAGGAAACAAACCACCATTAAGTGATGACAGTCAGCAAAACAGTCAGTCTGGATACTTCACCTTTTCGGGACTTCCCTGGCGGTCCAGTGGTTAAGACTTTGCCTGCCAATGCAGGGGGTGCAGGTTTGATCCCTGGTTAGAGAGCTAAGATCCCACATGCCTCGCGACCCAAAGAAAACAAATAACAAAATAAAAAACATGAAACAGAAGAAATATCGTAACCAATTCAACAAAGACTTTAAAAATGGTCCACATCAAAAAAAATCTTAAAAAAAAATAAAACAAAAAAATAAACGTTCCACCTCCTGCACAAACACCTCAAATTATTGGAGTGGTCAGATTTGGAATGGGAAAGAACTATGATGACAAAATGTGGGTTAAGAAAGACAGGAACAGGGAGTTCCCTGGTGGTCCAGTGGTTAGGACTCTGCACTTTCACTGCCAGGAGCGCGCGTTCATTCCCTGGTTGGGGAACTAAGATCTGTAAGCCGTGAGGCGCGACCAAGAAAAAAAAAATCTTACAATTAAAAGATTAAAATAAAAAACAGGAACAAAGGATCATCAAAAACATGCAGATGAAAATTACAATTCTTGAAATGATCTAAATAGCATATTTTACACAAATGAAGAATGAATATTATTCTTGAAATGAAAGAGTAAGCCCTGCATCTCCTGAAAAGAAGCGTCAAGAGATGTCAAAGTTACCCAGAATGCAGCACACACACAAACACACACGCACAGAGGACAGAATGAGAAGGCTTGACATAAATTTAGTCAGTGTTTGATAAGAAAATGAATAGGACAGAAGGAGCAGAGGAGAAAAACAATTTGACTGCAGAGGTATCAACGGATATAATAGAAGCAAAATACCAGGGAATAATATCTTCAAAATGCTGAGAAAAAAATAACGGCCAACTCAGAACTGTATGCAGTGCAAATTTTTCTTTTAATAACTAGGATGAATAAAGACATTTTCATATATACAAAAACAGAGATTATGATCAGCAGAATTTTATCAAAGGGATTCCTAAAAGGTATATTTCAAGAAGAAAGGAAAATCATCATGGAAAGAAGTTCTAGTGGTTTAGGAAGAACTGCTTAGTAAAAAAAAATGGTAAGTACATAGGAAAATCTAAGTGAATATTTTGTATATAAAATGAAAATACCTCAATTGTGGGGTTAAATAATGAGCTAAAATACTGATTTTTAAAATACCATATAAGTTGGAGGGTGATCATTAGATCTGGCCTTCTAAGGTCCTGTTATTATTCAGGAAGAATGTTAAGATAGTGATGCATGGTAACATTTTGAGGATGAACACTAAAAGAGTGGAAACAATGAATCACAAATCAGTATAGGGAAGAAAGAAGAGTAAAAATAAAGCAATTCAAAGGAAGAAAAAGGGGAAAGAGGTAGAAGAATCATCAAAAAGCAGGACAAACAGAAGGCACACCAAGTAAGAACCTTGTAACAAGTTTAGGATTTTTATTCCCAGCTGTACAAAAGATCTGATACCTGGAATGACTTGCTCAATATGAGCGAGTAGAATTTTGGACAAAATGAAAATAAATTATTTAAATACATGGGAATATGAGATGGTATAAGATTAAGAAATCCACAAGATCCCAAAAGTTGAGTGAGAGCAGGAGCCCGGAAAGGAGACACCACAGCCAGGTTTCACCCTGAGGGTTTCTGCTGGACTTGTGCCCTCCCCGCTTTGGCCACTGCACAGGGATTATGCATGAGATCCCAGGGCCTGTGTGAGGTAGGAGAATCGAATAGGAGCCATCTGCATACATCTGTGACCTACAGAACCACACCCTTTGTGTCAAGGTTAGCATGAAATAAACCTACCACGCAGAAGAGGCCAGCAGTGAAACACCATCTTGCCCTTGGTACTGGGTGAAGAGAGGAAATCTCCTCTGAGGATTCATGTCTGTAAGCTTATCTTCATGAGGGCTTTTGGTCCAAATCCGTATTGCCAACGTGTTCCAAAGAGACTGCAGACAGAGCATTTAGAACAAGACGCTGTCTTAGAACAAGACACTGTTAGCATTATACTCAAGCACACAAATACTCCCTGGAAGAACACAACTTCAAATCAAACCTGAAAGAATTCCTAGCGATTGCTTTCTAAGGAAAGTAAGCAGCTTCCAATCTAAAGCAACACTTGTGGATGAGAAATGCAAAATGAACAAACAATGGAAAGAGACAAAGACTTCCGGTATTGGAGCCATCACACCCAGATTACATGATAACTTTAATATGCTTAAAGAAATAAAGAGAAGATTGAAAGATGAGCAGAGGGCAGAACCTACCCTGTGGATTAGAGAGAGAACTAAACAGAATTCTAGAGCTGAAAGATATCATGATTAAAAATATAAAACTTGGACACATTGAACAAATCACGCTGCTGAAAAAATTTGCAAATGAGAAGATAGTTCAAAAACACTATCCGGAATTCAGTACAAAATACAAATTCAGTTAAGAAACAAGGAGACTTGAGTAAGATTTGACATATTTAATCAGGGTTTCAGAAGAAAAAAAAAAGGTTTCAGAAGGAGAAAAATCAAGCAGAGACAAAATTGGAAGAGAGAATATCAGATCCAGGAAACCCAGTGACAAACAAGAGACATAATTAAAACAAACAAACATCTAGATATATAATGAAACTTCAAAATACCAAAAAGAGAAGATTTTATAGAAGCCAGAGAGGAAATGGAGAAAATGAACTATTAGACTAATGCTAACTTCTCAAGCAGAGTGATGGAAGCCAGAAGACAGTGGAATAATAGCTTTGGGGTGGTGAAAACTGACCATCTGGAATTCTACACTCAGAATATTTTTCAAGAATGAAGACAAAATAAAGCACAAAATGAACAAACCGACAGCTTCCCAGGTTTACTACCCAAAACCCACATTAAAAGAAATAGTAAAAAAAATACACTTGAGTAGATTTTAAAAATTCTAGCCATGCTCTGTTTACACCACAAACATAAGAATGCAAAGGTTGACAGAGCATGGAGAAAGATTTACCAGATAATTATCAACCAAAAAGATACATTTTAATCAAATATTGCCAGAAGATAGTTGACATAGCTAGTTAACATCTGATAAAAGATTTCAAGCAAAGAGCATTACTAGTGGTAGAAGTTCAAAATGATAAAAAGTTCAAATCAGGAAGATATGAAATGCTAAAATTGTAATAGCATAATTTTATTTTTAAAAAATAAAACTGCAGAGAGAAGACAAATACATGTAGGAGATTTTAACATATTCCCCCCAGAAATTAATATTTCGGACAGACAAAAGTGAGTGGTGATTGATATAGAAAGTTTAAACAGTGCAATGAACAGGTTTAGGTGTGTGCAGTATTGCCTGCAACAATTAAGGAATGCCCATTCTTCCAAACACATGGGAACGTTTTCAAAAATTGATCACCTGTGAAGCCATAAAGGTACCTCAGCAGAGACAAAGGACTGTTATCACAGAAACCATATCCCCTGACTAAAATGCAACTAAGTTCAGAATAAAACTAAAAGCATTCCATATGTTTGGAAATACTTAAAACTTCTAAATAACTCATGGGTCAAGGGAGAAGCAAAATGCTATGTGTCAAAAATTGTGAAATGCTATGATACTAGCAGGGAAATATACAACGCTTAGTGCCTTCATTTAAAAGAAAAAGGATTGTGGGCTGGCCTCCCGCAGGAGTGGCCAGGCTGGGCATTACCCAGCAGCACCTCGCGGGGTCCTTCTTCTTTGAGTCCTTCTGCTCCACTGCATTCCCCGTCTTAGCATTCTTGTTGGTTTCTTCTCCAATCACACGTAAGCCTGGGTGTTTCAAGTCAGGCATACCCCGTTCAAATCCCAGCTCCTCTATTTCCTTCCTTGCTGAGCCTCCATGACCTCATCTTTACAACCAGGCTGCCAGTCTGTACAGGCTTGTTGGGAGGACTTGGTGAGAGTCTGTGCGTGAAGTGCCTGGTTCTTGATAAATACCTGGTATGTGATAACCCGAGGTCACACTGTGTGGCCAGAGGTGATTTCTCAAAGTGCTGATGGCTCTGCTGGAAGAGGCCTGCTGCCCCTCACGTGGTCAGTGGGCTCAGCAGCACTGACCCCTCCTCCCATGCCCATCCCACCCCTCCATGCCCTGGCTCTATCTAGCATATCCCAGATAAAGTGGCACTGTGTGCAGAGTCTGCATCCCTGGGGGCAGAGGGCAAGGGAGGAGTGGGAGTGGGGGTAGAAAAAAGAAAGAAATTAATTGAAAATAAATAAAAGAAAAAGGATTAAAATTAAGGCACTAAGGATCCAACATAAGAAACAAAACCAAACAAAAACAGCAAATTAATCCCAAAGGAGATCTAATGAAAGAAAGTAATCATAAAGATAAAAGAAACCAGTAATGAAACAAAAAACAATTATAAAGGAGAGAATTAACGCCCAAAGTAGGTTCTTTGAAAAAGATGAATAAAACAGAGAAGCCTCTGTAAAGGTTAGTCAAGGAGAGAGAAAGTAAGATATTAGGATGAAAGGTGGACTTAACTATAGACACTTCAGAGATTTAATAGTTAAGAATTACTATGGCCCATTTTAAGCCCAATAATTTGAAAATTTAGATGGAATGGATTAATTTTAAAATAAACTTGCTGCACTGACTCTAGAAGAAATAGGAAATCTGTATATTCTTACAATCACTAATAAAATTGAGTGGGCTTTGAGAAATTTGACTCTATTAAAATTAGGGACTTCTGTTTATGGAAAGACATCAAAAAGTGAGTGTTCATACCAACCACAGACTGGGAATAGAAATTTACCACATGCATAATAGACAAAAAAAGATTATCCAGAATGCTTAGTTGCTGCCTAAAGAGATGGGCTACAGACATGAACAAGCATTCCACCAAGAAGAAAATACAACAGATCATAGGCAAACGACAGGATACTCCTCCATCTTATTATTAATTAGGCAGGTCAGAATTAATATTCCAATATTATTTTCTTTCTCAATCTTCAGATTGGCAAAAAAGTTAGAAGCCAAATACCAAGTATTATGAGGATGTGAAGCCAAAGGAACTTCCGTCAGTTGTAATGAGAGTGTATATTTGTATAACCATTTTGGAAGACAGTTTGGCATTGCCTGGGGAAACAAAGTAAGCATGCATACAGGGCTGCAGTTCCACTCCTAGAAAATCCTGCACATGTGCACTGGAAACACAAAAGTATTGATCGTGCTAGCATAAATGAGTGAATGGGTATATAAACAATGCACAAGCGAATACTGGGAATAATGCAAATGTCCATCAACACAATGGATAGATAAATTTGTGTACAGTTGCAAGAAGGACTATATGTACACAGCTGAAACTGAATAAACCATAGTCTCACACAATACCATGTATGAGCTTTAAAACATAATGGTGTGTGCTTATAAGAAACAAATTCAGAAAAATCAATTCTATATGATTGCATATTTGTAAGTTCAATAAAACAACACTACACAATGTGTTTGAGGAAGCACATGTGCATGGGTGATAAAACTAAAAGAAAAGCAGGGTAATGGTTAAAACAAAAAAGAGATTGGTCACCTTAAGGAGGTGGGAAGAAGAGTTGCAATTGGGGGTGGGAATATCTGGAGTAATGACAAATTCAATTCCTTTTTTTTTTTTCAACAAGGAAAATAGTACATAAACTTTGCAGTGTGGCTTATAATTTCTTAAAAGGAAACAGTTTACATAGACATCAAATTAACATTTGAATGTTGATATTGAATCACATACCAGTTGACTTCTACAAAGTTACTTAATACAACATTCTGTTTTTTTAAAGGTAAACCTATCAGAATCATACATTATTGTTTCAAATTAATTTCCTCTCCATAATTGATAGTTTATTTTGTGATTTTAAATTCTGCCTAGTTTCAATGATGGTGGTATAAAGTTCAAAGTGAGTATTTCTGAAAGCTGTTGTTATTGTTATTTAAGAAAATGCATTATTTTTAAGGGTCAGTAAATTTTCTGCAGCATTACTAAGTCTTCATAAAATGACATACTTCTTTTGAACAAAAAGACATAAACAAAGCTAGAATAAAGTCTGACATTCAGTGCTTGTATAGAATTATAATTTATGAGGCAATTGGATGTTCATGAAATTTATACAAAACAAGTCCTTTTGCGCTTATGCACTGCAAGCATTTTTTTAAACAATTGCTGGGGTTTTTTGTTTTGTTGCTCAGTAATGCACCGTTTTTTTCCCCTTATTTTGACTCCCTCCACCCCTTTCTCCCCACCCCCTGCTGTCTTTGGCAATCACCAGTCTGTTCTCTGTATCTATGAGTTCTTTTTTTCAAGGCTCCCACATAAGAGAAATAATATGATATTAAATATTTGTCTTTCTCTGTCTGATTTATTGCACTCAGTATAGTGCCATTGAGGGCCTTGCATGTGGTCACAAATGGCATGACTTCATCCTTTTCTATGGCTGAGTAATATTCCGCTGTGTGTGTCTGTGTATACATACGTATATGACATCTTCTTTATCCATTCATCCACTGGTGGACATTTGGGTTGTTTCTGTATCTTGGCTATTATAAGTAATGTTTCAGTGAACATGGGGGTGTGGATATCTTTTCAGTTAGTGGTTTTGTTTTGTCTTCAGATAAATACCTGGAAGTGGAATTGCTGGGTCACATGGTAGTTCTATTTTTAATTTTTGAAGACCCTCCATACTGTTTTCCATAGTGGCCAATTTACATTCCCACAAACAGTGCAGGAAGTTTCCCTTTTCTTCACTTCCTTGCCAACACTTATTTCTTGTTTTTTTGATAATAGACATTCTAACAGGTGTGACGTACTATCTCATAGTTTTGACTTGTATTTCCCTAATGATTAGTGATGTTGAGTATCTTTTCATGTGAATATGTGTTGGCCATCTGTATGTCTTCTTTGGAAAAATGTCTATGCAGATCATCTATTTTTTAATCAGATTTTTTTCTATTGAGTTGTATGAGTTCTTTGTATATTTTGAGTATTAGTCCCTTATCAGATATATGATTTGCAAATATTTTTTTCCATTCAGTAGGTTGCCTTTTCAGTTTGTTGATGGTTTGCTTTGCTGTGCAGAAGCTTTTTAATTTAATGTAGTCCCACTTATTGATTTTTGCTTTTG